TCCTCCTTACAGACATTCCAACCAAGTCCCGTGCTTCCCCACAGATGAGTTTATTTTCATGAGTGACTATCAGATTCCAAGATTACCCTCTACTTTCTCTAATCTTTCATGTGACCCTTGGCATCTAATTCAGTGGGTCTCAACTAAATAGCATTGGGCATGGTGCCGCCTATTTGATGGCCGATATTCTTTATTAACCTTGAAATTCTCCTTTATTTTAGCTCCCAATAATATACCTATTCTAAAATACTTTGATAACATGTATACCCCAGAATGTTTGGATTCTCCAGGTATCAAGAATATAGACCATGTTCTCCTTAGTCGGGTAGTTCATTGGTTAGAACATTGTCCCGATACGCCAAGGCTGTGGGTTTGATCCTCCATCACAGCACATACAAGATTCCACCAATGATTGCATAAATAAGTGGAACAACAAATCTATGTTTCTCTCAAAATCAATCAAAATTTTAAAAAAGACTATAGACCATGATCAAAGGAAAAAGATACCAAAAGGGCAAGAATATAGTTCAAAACTTTCTGAAGGCACTGTGAGCAAAAGCTTAAATGTAAGCAATTGAATAATTAAAATGATTATAAAAATTTTAGAGCTAAACCCTATTTAAGCATAAATGTTTTAGAATGAAGAAGCCTTTGATATTTGTAATAAGCTTGCATTTCTATTGGGTATCTGTTATAAATTACAGCTTCTGTAATTACATAAACATGGAATTATGTTTGTCTCTGGGTCTTGTTCAATGGATGTCACACATTTCCTGTATATTTATAAATTCTCCAAATTAAAAATATTAATCCTAAAGTCTAGAAGCAAAAATATCATTGGTAAAAAAGCACTATTTTACACAACTTTGTAGCTATAACTTATTTTTTTTAAAAGATATATTTTTATTGATTTTAGAGAGGAAGGGGGAGGTAGAGAGAGAGAGAAATATCAATGATGAGAGAGAATCATTGATTGGCTGCTTCCTGCATGCCCCCTACTGGGGATCAAACCCGTAACCCAGGCATGTGCCCTTGACTGGAATCAAACTCAGGACCCTTCAGCCTGCAGGCTGACGCTCTATCCACTGAACCAAACAAGCTAGGGCTATGACTGTTATTTTTATTCACCCGTTTCTAAGGAATGCCTAGGATGTTTTATAAGTGTTTATGTTTATGTCTAACATACCTATTAGTGCTTACTGTAGAGGAATGGTATTGACTATTTAATTTCAGTTGTCTACATTTTCAAAACAATGAAGACATATAACTGACCATAAAATAGAAATAGCAGCCATTCAAAATAGTTGAACATTTATTGTACCGTTTAGAGAGGCAATCTCATTATTAAACTAAATATAGCCAGTTTATGTGTGTATGCAGATGCAGGGATCTATTGTGTATATTACAATTTGTAAGTATAAAATACACAAATGTAATGGATATTTGGTTTATT